CTTCTCTACCCAGTTAATTAGTAAGGATTGTATCAGTAAATCATTATTATCCTCCAAAACCTCTTACAATCTAAGAAGATTTTCTGGCTTCAAATAAGCTACAAAAGATTGATAAGCCGTAAAAAAACGAATCAATCAGAGGTGACTCCAACTTCTAAGGTCAGTGCATAGAAAAGTCGTTACCCAGTGAATATTTAAATTTTGGTAAGCTTAATGGTAGACATATAGAATTGTATTGTTGCGTACGATTTTGGTGGATATAAAATATTATGCCAGGACTGTGACAATCAAAAACAGCATCTAATATCGTTGCAGTGTTAAAGTCAGGCAGTACCTTCAGCACACACATACTAACCATGGCATACTAAGCAAAATAAATTTAATTTTTAGTCGTTTTACTTCGCGCCTGGCGATTCGGTGGAGTAATGGATAGCAGCTCGGATTGAGCCGAGTTCGAATTCTAGTCGAATCGATTACATTCACTTACGTGCTAATACCGTTGGGAAAGGCAAGAATCCTCTTCTTCTCCCTCCAGTTATGGGTAAATAGCAGGACAGACTGGGTTCTATAGCCTTGGATGGCAGCGGGTCTACCGCAGAAAGAAATGGCAACCTACTGCGGGAAAAAAAATTGCCCCGTCAGCCATGTATCGAAAGATACATGATCGCCTAGGCGTGTATCACGTGTGGCACATAACTGACATATTTATCAAGGCGTGTGTAGTTAACAAAACAGTAAGAAGAGAGAGAGAGAGAGAGAGAGAGAGAGAGAGAGAGAGAGAGAGAAGCTGACGATATAGGTGATAAACAATAGGAACACCTGTGGTTATTTATACCATGTGGGTATCGTAATGTTTACAAGTCAAGTAACATGAGCATCTGTCACCAAATATAATCATTATCCGAGGGTGTCGGCTAAGATGTACGCTATCGAAGACTGAGTGCTTATATATAGCACTTTGTCGGGCATTATTGGTGTGACGGCTAAAGTTCTATTTCTAGTATTGACTTGATAAAGTTATTTGTTTTGGATTCATACTGAAATTGTTGTTGAACAAAGAGGGATGGGCACTTTTGTAAGCCATTCGACAAAGCGCCACAAAATAAATATGGGTTGCTAAATGGGGCGGGGGGGGGCAATCAAATGTTAAGTTTTGAACGGTTAAATCAGATATTAACTTTTAAAGATTCTTGATTCTGTATTTCTTTATATGATCCTCTCATAAACCCTTTTTTTTTTTTAGATATATTATCCTAATTTAGACATTTTTTTCTTTTGATTTTAAATACACTTTTTTTTTCGCCTGTACTTATTTCTGGAATGAAAGTTTTCCCGTATATAAGATATATACAAATTTAGAAGCAAATGTTCGAAGTCTTGTTTATTTTGGAAATTAATGGCAGTAAATACTTTATACAAATGATTCAACTAGGTTCAATACCACTGTGGTAATTATGTTCACATCAGATGGTTACCAGTATGGATAGGTTTTGATAGGATTTTCTTTACCGGAAACTTTGAAATAAAAGCGAACTTACTCAAGGGTATAAAATAAATAATATATTTTTATTTATTTTCTTTAGAGTTCTGAGTGAATCCTTTGGTATTCGGCGTAGCAAAAAGCGTTTTTTGACCCTTGTACCATCAGCCTCTAGCCAAGAGGTGTCAGGTTTATATCCTCTTGACCAGGCTTGAGAATCTGGCGCGAACAATAGTTTCGGCTAACATCAAAAGTCTCTTTGTGTTAATTTTTTTTGATTGGCTAGAATTATTTTATTTTCCGGTATTTCTTTCGTTTTCATTTTTTTTATAACGGAAGTTATTTGTGGAGCCTCTCCGATTTTTGGTATTTTTCAGTCACAAATAAGTAGGCTCTGGTCCTGCAAACTTCTGATGCTTTTCGGTCGAGTTCAGCCTTTTCTTCTAGCTCTTTCTATTTGAGGGTAGACGAGAGAGAGGTATAGAAAGAGAAGTTTAGAAAGAGAGAGAGAGAGAGAGAGAGAGAGATAAAAGTTTTAGAAAAAAGCGCAAATGGATTATTTTAATTTGAATTCTTTTTTTATTTTTGTTTATATATTTTATTTTTGTATTTTACTTGGTTTTATTTTTATCGGGACTCACTACACCACTGTCATAGATTGAGGCCAAGAAGACAAATTTTAGTCTTCTGTTTAGTTCTCAGTTTCAGCAAAATTAGGGGGCTGAAACCCCGAACCCTTAACGCCATGTATAGATTGCAGTTAAGTTCGCCTTATACAAGATGCTCTTCACATGTTAGTTTTGACAAAGAAATACCAGCTTGAAATCACGTATTTTTTCTGTAGATTTAGCAAAATATGTTGTCATATTAAAAGGAGTTGATTTAATAAAGAAATTGCTTAACATTAATGTTCGATTTTATTTATGATATAGAAATAGGTTAACGACTTTTTAATAGCGCCAACTTGTAATTGTTCCAGAAGTTGTTATGCAAAGCATCGCGCAAATTTTATGATGTCATAAGAGCAACAAAGAATGAAGCAATTCATTAAACACCTGAGTTTCGTTTCATATGAAGTGATTTATTGCTTTTCCATTGATAATGTTAATGAAATTAGCGCACACTCGTAAAAGTAACTGACCTTATAAACGAGTGATAGTCGATTCGATTCTTGTTGCGTGTTTCATAAATATTGTTTTGACTCAAAGTTAGTTTAACTAAAGCAAAACACGTTCAATAAATATCAAACGTCATCGATTTCTGGCGAAATCAGCTCGCAAACAAAACGCTACATGATTATGATATATCCATTATTAAAATAGTAAGCATCTTAACTCAAACTGTAGAAGTAATAGTCTTAACTATAAACATGTTTTTGCTGTAAAATATTCAAAGAAAAATGAAATAATATCAGAATAATAATTATTTTCTTTTTAAAAATATGCTTTTATTGCGACACAGAAAATTTCCATGTTTCAAAACTGAAACTAAATTTATAAATTTAATTATAAAATTAAATTGATTGATAAGCTCTCTAGGGAAATTAAAACCCAGCCACCCTTAAATTGAAATAGATTTTCTTTAATCTTAACTACTCAATATTGTCTTGGCTTATAAATTAAGTAAATTTCTTCGAAAATTTATTCCTAACATCGCTTGACAATGGAACGAGACTATGGATTTTAAGTTTAATTTTTATAATTAAATTTATAAATTTACTTTCAGTTTTGAAAGATGGAAATTTTCTCAGTCGCGATGGAAATTTTCTCAGTTGCGATGGAATCATATTTTTAAAAAGAAAATAATCATAATATTTTCCTCTACTGTTTGTATCGAGCACGTTTTGTTTAAATAAAAATAACTGCTAAGAACACCGGATTATAAATCTTACTGTTCTTTCTTATTATTTTAATATATATAATATCAGAATAAGTGTTATTTGTTATTTTTTTTTTTACTTACGCGTTCTTCAGAATTTTTAATGACTGATTTGATTTGTTTGTTTAATGGTATACCAACTCCTTATGAGTCATTTAATGCCGAAATTTAAATTTCTTGGGAGCTTTGAAACAATAAAAAAATGATGTACACTATTTACATTATTCTGACTGTTGTCTTAATCTTCATTGTCATATTCACGACGTTTAGGCCGTTTTACACTCCGGCCTTCTTCATGTGATATACGTTGGAATTTCGAATCGAACTCTTTATTTAGCCTACTGAGGTAGATTTTCCTAGTTTCACGTGTACTGGATATCTCAGTTTTCAGTTAATTTCCTTTAGTAACTCATCTCTCCAAATCTTTTTGTTTACCTCTGCTGTGGCCAGGTAGTGAATTCACAACTCTTTTGGATTACTTCAACTAACGCTTTCATCCACTGAGTCATGTATATATAATCTGAAGAAGGCCGGAGCGTACAACGGTTGAAACGTCGTGTATATAACAATAAAGATGAAGACAACAGTCTAATCAATGTAAATAGTCCTCAGAAATATAGAAAAAAAATGATATATGTTATTCTGCTTTCACATTTGAATACATGGTAGATGCTACTCAGCTTTTGTTCATATTCATGCTTGTGTACACATAATTACTAGATACGGTGATATGCGTGTTTTATGCTGTAGTTTAAGTTTATTTATATCTTAGAATACAGTTTGTTTTCTTTAAGAAATTGTAGGATATTATATAGATTGTTATCATGAAAGAGTTCTTTCACGTTGGTTGGTTGATTTTGTTTAGTGTATATAAACCTCTATGGCTTATTTAATGCCTAAATCTAAATATTTTCAAGACAATTTTTATGACTTCAACTACAGATAAAATGTATTGTTGGTAATTCTACTATAAAATGTATTGCTGGCAATTTTACTATAAATATGTATTGTTAGTAATTTCACTACAAATATGTAGTTTTGGTAATTTGTTTTATAAAAATGTATTGCTGGTATTTTTACTATAAAAATGTATTTTTATACTTAAAAGTGTTTTGATTTTGTTTGGGGGTTTACTGTTTGCCCATAGCTGGAATCCCTAACAGGTGTTACCACTTTGGGTCAGAGTGAACCTAGAAAGAACATCAATTAAGAGGTGATTCCATGCTCCTCAAAACCTCCAATCTCCCGATCAGAGGCCTTGCTGCCGGGTGTAGTTTATCGTCATACTTAATACTAAGTTTTTAATGACAGTGATTGTTATGAATTTTGTTACAATTTTTCTTAGAATAACTATGTTTTATCTCTTCTTTATTTTTAAGCTTCATAAAAGATGGCTAATTTTTCTCGTTTTTTTAATCAAAATGTGATGGATATATTTAAGCAATTTTGCATTTGTATTGTTTATATTTTCTGCATGTGTAATCTAGATGATTATATGTGTCATTAACTCTAATAATTAACTCCTTTTAAATCATTAAAGGTAAAAATAATCAAAGATAAATAAGGAACAAAATAAAATCAAATAAACATTATATTAGTAGTATTAGTTTTATTTCTCTGCAACGAAAATAAGATACCAGGCTTACGGCCATCATCACATTGAAACACCGGTTCTCTTACGGCCAGCGAAGTTAAGCAATGTCGAGCATAGTTAGTACCTAGATGGGTGACAGCTTGGGAATACCAGGTAAGCTTGGTTGTGCGCTTGGTGTAATTGATAACGGCTCGGAATTAAAAATCAGAGAGCCGAGTTCGAATTCCCGTTGGGTTCGTTATATTCACTTACGCGCAAATACCCTTGAGAAGGGTATGTGTCGATTAACCCCCCCCCCCAAGCTATGGGTGAACATGTGAGCAACGACGAGGTTTTGGAGAGGATGTAAACAAAGAGGAAACTTATAATTAACATCAGGAAGAGGCAGCTGAAATTTCTGGGAAACGTAATGAGAAAGGAAGGCTTGGAAAATCTGATACACAGATAGATAGAAAGAGAGACAAGAGGAAGCAACACGTGACATACTTAGCAGGCTTAAGGGAGTGGTTAGCAGAAGAGGGAGAAGTAGCAAAAAGTCAAAACTTATTGAGATAGGAATAGGAGGATGTGAAGAGCCATGATCGCCTACGTCCTGAAGGAGAACGGCATATAAAAAAAGAATTTGTTTTTTTTATTTTATTTCAACAATTTCACATATTTTTCCTTTTTAAAAGTATGCTAAGAAATGAAGGTGTTTTTTTTGTTTGTTTTTTTTTAATACGCGTTTGCACAAGAGCGCATTCAATAATCAATTCAAGCAGTACTTGGACAAATGTCTGAGAAAGTTAATATATACAACGTTATTATTTTATTGTGATGTATCATGTTTCTACTGGCTTTACTTGTATACACTTGTTATTTCTTTATGAAAAAGTATGCATCAATGATTGCGGTGTTCATGATTGCTCCATATGCATCGCTGAATGAATATGATTCTTATCATATATATATATATATATATATATATATATATATATATATATATATATATATATATATATATGACTAAACGCACCAGATAGTTCATTTGTACCACTTAGTTTACAAATACGTGACACTTTGGAACAAGATATTTTACATACTAATTAATAATGATCATCGAATATCCCAACGATGTTTGAAAAGCCTATTGGCTCTCAATACTGTCATTGTGGTAAAATTGTAAATACTTCAGTTCCTTCCAACTGTAAAACAATACGAATAAAGCGTATTTATGCATAATTTATTTTCTTATGTCGTGTTTAGACGAGATTTAAAAATACTGTAAATGTTGGGGTTGTGACGCTTGTGTTATTAATATATGTTGTTTGTGCCATGAACTAGTTACTAAGTTCACATAACTGGCTAGACTTATGCAGTAGATAATGTAAGATAACATTTTCTGTCAAATTTAAAAAATGATTGTAGCAAATAGTCATGTTTCTTTCTTGTAGAATCCGTGATATCTCTATTGTTAAGATAAATGTTTTAGCCGTTCTTTTCATTAAGACATCTCAATTTCGCATTTCAGATTAGTTACCATATCATACTCCTTATAAAATATTCCCCTTAAACCGTATTAATCAGAATAAACCATTTTCCTATTTTTTTTCTCGAACTTTATGTCTATATAAAGTAAAAAAGATCTTCTGTACTTAATGTTCATTAAAATAGAACAAACTAAAACGTAAAACGGTACATTGTTTAAAAATGCTTATGATAACATAGGAATACCAATGTCTCATTAAAACAGGAAATTTATTACAGTTGTAGAATATAATCATATTCTACAAGTGTAATAAATTTACTGTTTTAATGAGACATTGGTATTCCTATTCACCAAATTGTCGCATTCATTAATTCAAAATTCTGATATTAAACTAAAATTACAATAATTATTTATATTAAACCCAAAATAAATTCCATATGAGCAATTATTACAGCAGACATTGACGAGTTCAAGGTTTTAAAAATATTTGTATATTAATGAAGTAATAAAAATTGCGCTAAAAAGTTAGCTGGGGTTTTCCAACTAAACCAACATGGCTGAATATCTCAAAAAATAAAATAAAATAAACAACACACACACACACACACACACACACATACACACACACACACACACACAAAAAAGAAATTTTGTTGGTGTATATCAACATGGCACAAATCTACATTTATGGGGTAAATCGGTAGCTCCTGAAACTAGTACAGAGCCCACTACAATACAGGAAGCATTCCCATTTTCAGAGATACTTTTTATGATTTATCAATCTTTTGCAAGTTATTTAAAGCCAGGAAATACTTTTAGATTGTAAGATTTGGGGGGTGGAGCAGATAATTATTTAGTGATACAAACCCCATTAATTAACCTATAGCTGGGGGAGCGGTAGATTCATACCTTTCTCGGGGGTATTTGCGCGTAAGTGAATATATTCGAACCGTTATCCGTTACACAACCCGCACATCCAAGCTTACAACGCCTGGTATTCCTATCAACGGTATTTCCTCCATAAAACAAGATTTCCTCTCTGTTGTTTAGTTAGCAAGATATGAACCATTTGCCAACAAACTCCTCTACCGTCATGTGATCAGATATTTCAAAACTTTCTACTTAAAAAAGAATTGAATATTTTTTTAAGAGCTCATAAACTTGAATGTTTTACTTCAACAGTGCTATCCTCATGTATGCATTCTTCTCGAATACATAGGGAAATGAGTTGGTTGTTGTAAACGACCTGGGTCATTCAAAAGTCTATCTAATTAATGGACACCCGTTTTCGTTTGTCATCTAGACTTTCGGAGCCAAGTGATTTAGAACGTTAGTATTCCGACCATGAGATCTGGGTTCGAATATCACCATGATTGATTTGTCAAGGTGATTTTATAATATCAGGCTGCATGCGGCACATTTGGAAAGTGCCTGAAAACCATATACACGCCTTGGCCCAAGCCGTACGAGTGAAATTTGATAGACAGAATTCAGTCAGTTATGTGTCATGCGTGATACACGCTTAGGCGATCATGTATCTTTCGATACATGACTGACAAGGCAGATTTTTCCCGCAGTCGTTGGCCTTTACTTTCTGCGGTAGGCCAGTTGCCATTCAAGGCTATAGAACCCGGTCTGTCCTGCTATTTACCCATAGCTGGGTGGGGAGAAGAAGGGGAGGATTCATACCTTTCCCAAAGGTATTAGCACGTAAGTGAATGTAATGGATTGAACTGGATTTCGAATTCGGCTCTCCGATTCCCCAATCCGAGCCGCTATCTATTACTCCACTGCCTCCTGGTAGACAGAAATGTTCGGAATTTGTGGTTGTACTAGTACGAAGCTACAAGTGATTTTGATGAAGGGTTTGGACATACTGGTTTTGTAGCACAGGATTTAACCATTTGACAATGAGGGTTTACTAAGGTGTGGTCATTGCACCTGTAGAGCTATGTTTCTCCTCGTTTAAGATGGGAGAAATTCCAACCCTGTTGCAGCACCGTCCTCATTGTATTCAGAGAGGTGGAAGTCGGTGAAATACCGATGCCAACATAACAATGGTCGTGAGAGCTGGGTAAAACCATAATTTTGTCCTTGTCCTATATGCATACGCATGTGTATGGTTCTTACCACGTTAAAACGACCTTGTGTCACATCCATCCTTGTTAGGAAGGCCGGGTAAATATACCTGGCTTTGTTCATACCAGTGATGTATTGATCACGCCAGAAGATGCGTTCTCTCCCAGAAACTGTAACTAAAGTCCGCTCAACATAGTTGCTGTAGAAGATCCAGGTTGGGTCTATGAGTGCTGAAGAAACACCAATGTTCCTGAGCAAGCGTCTTCAATGGGGATTAGCAAGCTACCCTAGCAAACGGGCATATTCGGAAACAAGCAACCAGTCACTTACTTACGAGCATTTCTAGACCCATGAAACTAAGCTGTTTCATAGAATTTTTATACGCAGAACAATGGGCACGTTTGATTTCTGACCATGAGACCCAGGTTCGAATCTCACCTTGGTCGATTTGCCAGGAAGGTAACTTTTTGATGTTATCGGTCAGGAGGTAGGAACGATCCCAGTATGCAGCACCTTTGGTAAGTGCTTGAAAACCATACCACGAGTTGAACCAAGCCTTATATGAAATTGGAGGGCGTTGATAGCTGTGCTAGAACGAAGTCACGACTCAGACTGATGATCACGCTAGATAACACGCTCTTTCCCAGTTACAGTATAAACCACAGGTGGGCTCTGTGAGTGTTGAACAAACACAAATGTACCTGAGCAAGCGTCTGCAATAGGGATTGTCTAGCCGCCTTAGTAGACGGGATTCCTCGGATACGAGTGGCAAGCTATAGAATATACAGAACAAAATTTGTTTGTACCTCGTAAAGTTGAACCATAAAAACCTTTTGGTACTTTCTTTAAAATCTTTCATTTTTTAAAACTCTTCTTTGTGAAAAATAAATAAGTAACTTCTTTGATTATCACAGAAGTTTTTCATATGGTATACCAATTCTGTTTCTTCTTACCTAAATCGTATTACTAACTTAAAATTTTAAACTAAATTTGTTATTGTATAAATGCAAGAATGTATTTTATATTCTATTTATTATGGTGATTTTTTTTTCTTCTTTTTATTTATTAGGCTCAGAAAATCTCAAGCGATAAAGAGGCCGGTAAGTTACTTATTTCTTTATTTTAGAGGGATATAAAGGTATCTGAAACCTATTATTATTTCTACATATAAACACCGAATTTAGGTAATATTGACACACGTGGGACAATAAGAAAAAATCTCCATCTGATTTCTCCATCCAGTTGATTGTATAATCTGTTTTATATACATGTATCCTTGGAAGCAAATCTTCTCTTTTCCTGTATTATTTAATATGATTTCCATGAGGGGTTGTGGTAGAGCCACCGAGATCAATAGTGTGTACTTGATGGTTCCCGGACAACTGAACCAGAAGTAAATAAACAGACAATGATTGGAAAATTAACATTAAATAGCTAAAAATTAAACAGCTACTGGTGGTTAATTTCAAGTTGTTTAAAGAGTTTGTTTTTCACTTGTGCCATTATTACCGTTCACCATAAACGCCATGTCCCTTCAGGACATAGGTCATCATGGATTTCTACAGATTCCTTTGCTTTATTATCTACAAACTGCCATGCTTTCTTGGG